GTCACTATCCCTCTCCCGCTCTCCCCTCTATGGCCCAGCAGGGTTATCCCCCAGTGGGGGATTACTCTCACATTTGAACTCCATGGTCATCAACAGTTCACCAACGTGCTGGGATGGGCGTGCCACCTCAGTAAGGAGGGGTCATGTACCTCTTCGTTAGTAAGCTTGTTGCACCAGCTTCCATGCACTTAAGCCAATATTCCAGCGTGAGGCATTTGCCATATTCCCTCGGAACGTGGAATGGGCCCTGCCTTCCTCATGTCCAGTGTTATGGTCTTTCCCTTTCTCCCCTGCCTCCCCATGCCCCATAGAAGGAAGAAGGAAGGACGAGAACCGGAGCCTGTGGTGGGGTACGGATATCCCGTACCTGCTTCGCCTGTCTTTTCCACCTGCACGGTGCACCTGCATCTCGCCCTGCCATGCACGTACCATGTACACAGATACATTAGTATCGCGCGACTGCGAATACATACTACGTAGCAGTTGCCTTCTTCGACGGGGAAGGGTGGGAAGGGGAGTCTCTGGCACGCGATGAAGAACGACAGCCAGAACTTCTTCGATTGCAATGCACACCGGTTATCCGCATAGGACATACGCCTTCTGAGGTCGATTTATTATTCCTGTTTGTTTTTGTTTTTTTCCCCCTCCTATCTCGTACTCCTCCTATTGCATTGCATCATCCACCCACCTATCTACAACCCAGGTAGTCAACGCCTCGTGCTGTCTTGTCCTATCCTGTCTCGTCTCGTCTTGTCTCGCGGCCTGTCACTTCTCCCTCTTATTTTATTTCTACGGATGTTCTATTTCCTATCGCCCTTCCCCTGCCCCCTGCCAGCACCATCTAATTGCACCACCGTAAGATTATCAGGGTCCCGATACTATGGCTACCTGAATGTCCTTCCAGAGACCCAGCTGGCAGTGGAGAACGGCCATGAACATCCCGGTCAGCCAGAAAGGACACACGATAATGCCTACCGAGACTGCGTACGGATATCACAAGGGCCCTGTCCGACAAGGCACTTCGACAACCCCCCCGACGACAACGTCCCAAACCTGTTCCAAGCCGGGCCAACAATGGACGAGGATCCAACCCGCTGCCCCCTGAAGTCCCCAAAGTAAGCCCGGTCGTGTTCGCACATTGCCTCTCTCCGCAGTCACCCCGATTTTCTCGACCGCCTTCTCGTAGTGTTACCTTTCGGGGGGCATGGGCGTTCACCATCCCCGGTCACCCCTTCTCCGTGCGTCTTGCCCATGGCCTGCCATCGCTATTATGAGCCAAAGGTTCAATAGGAGTACTTCGTAGAGGCATACCCTTTCCGATACCCGTGTCGATCCGGTCGTACACCGATGCCCTCGAAGGACTACGCCGCCATAAGCCCAGTGGCCCACATCAGCTTCTTCAGCGTTCCTCCCTCTCATGTACGCTTGTGGGTCGGTCAGCCCAAGCCCGTCCTGCTATGCCGAAGACGCCGCCACAGCACCGTTCACACACCAGTAACAACCACAAACGTCGCAGCGGCAAAGCATCGCCAATTGTAAGCACGCTCAATAGCTGACAGCCCAAGATGCCCCATTGAGGAGCAATCGCCCCCTTCTTACGCATCATCCAGTGGCCAGGATTCGGAGCTACAGTCATTCTTATTTCCCCATTTGGCCGGCATGATAACCACCTATTCGCTCGTTTACTTCCCCCTCTCCAGGGATCGGGCACAGTTGCCTAAGCGCCTCGGGAGGATCGTCATATTGCTCAGTCGCGGCGGCTGACAAAACTACCTACCTTTCCCTTAGTATAGATTTACCAATCTACGAGCTATGGGTAAGAACTGCGAGATGTGCCACATTGCATGTGTCCAGCTACTCAGATAGTTCAACAACATTGCCCCTTTGGTACTGGGCTGTCAATGCTAGACATTCCCCTCAGCTGGGAAGTGGTAAGTCAAGTATCCGCACTTTCGCCATTTACTGCGATTGCCAAGCAAGGGGGGGGAACATCTACAGATGATCACCGGAGGTATGTATATCACGATGCATGCCTATGAAGCCGACCTGTTGTCAACCCTGACTCTGCCCAGAGCAACATATCGATGACAGCCCCTGGACTCTGTTCGGGACGAACCTTCAACGTTGCGGTGACTGGCCGGCAGCATCCTCTGTGCACGTATAATAGTAATCGTGGGTTCTTGTGCTGAGTAGGACGGACGAGGTGCGATCCTCCGCGACCAGCCAAGCAGGAATGGCGAAACGTCCAGAAAAGCAATCGAGAAGCTACTAAGCCTTGGCAGCTGAGCTGCTAATCCTCATTTCGTCTCCCAACTCAGACATTCCTCCTTTCATCGTACAACAGAGACTTTCGACCGATCTTTCGTTGGGACCTGAAGTCACACTTCTTACGTACACGAGAGCACAGCATGTGGTAGCTTATTTTAGCCAACACATAACATCGCCAACCGCCAAGGCAACCATCTGGGTTCGCATACCACCCATACTGCTGACTTGATCAAGGAGGGGTTAAATCGCATCCAAATGAACAGGACTTTTTGATCGAAGTTAACAGGCCGATGGGATTATCGTCAGCAAGTCACACGTTTCCATTCATAGACTCAACGGTATTTTCAAGTGTACCGGTAAAAGCCCGCTCTAAGCGGCGATGAGTGTTGGAATGCTGCTCTAGCTCGATTTCATACAGTGCCACCTGTTCGGAGCTAGAGTTCATCCTCCATCTGACGATCTCTCTACGAATTAGCGTACAAACACTATAGAGCCGAGCTGCTTCCTGTGAAATGGTTGTTGCATAGCCCGCAAGGGTACCTGATGAGATGTCATCATCGACGTCATAGCTTCACGTCGAATGGCCTCCAACGCACGCATTGATATTGCTTCTCGAACGCTTCCTTCCGGTCACCAACGGAGCCCGGGCAGGCTACATCTGCGCTTGCCACTGGCTGTGGGTTTGCGAGAGATGCACTTCGATACAACCCAGTATGACGGCCATGTCATCCGACCCAAGTTATGCGTTTTGTATCCTATTAGGCTATTCTTAAGTCCGAAAGGGACGGGCCAGTTGCGCTCAGAGTATCCGTAAATCGCCCAGGAAAAGAAGAAGAAGAAAAAGAAAAGAAAAAAGGGATGCAACCCTCAATAAGATGCCTCCCAGTATGCAGCGTGGAAGGCGTACGACCTCTGGAGCGAGTCATTTTGCGAAGCTGGTCTGATACATTAGCCGCCTCCCTCAATCTTGCACGGCCCAATTGACAAGTTAGTCCTGTATTCCCCCTTCCAGTGTAGCAGCAGGGACGGCCACGTTTTTGCAGAGGCATCTGACATGTGGTGATGGGCGAAAAGTGCTGCATCTGGACTCGGCCAAAGACCAACACCACTCAGAAGACACGCTCTGCAATCCACAGACCTCAGTCGCCCTTACCACGATGCCGTTCATCATTGGAGTTGTCGGCTGAGACCCCGTTCTCTTCAACTGAACGATGTACCTCCGCAATCACACGTACGGCGGAAGATGATCCGTGAACGCTTCCCGTTCTCCACATTCTCGCCTTCAGTCTCCCTTAATTCTAGGGTAGGGTGCCCGAATCAACGTCAGTTCCGCCAATCTGCTGATGGGACGGACCCAAGCACCACATTCGGTTGGTGCTAGTTCTGAAAGCTCTGATGTCTCCCAGACAAATCAGCTTTCAGAACTTGGTATATTGTCCCTGACATCAGCCCTCCAGTGGCCCGCCACCATTTACTCGAAATGAAGTGACCACCAGCATAGCAGAACGGAGCTCAAGAGCGCATGCTACTTTAGCCGGTCCGATCAGGCAAAGGCAGAGAAGTATGGTAAGATCCCTGGTCCATGCATGGGGCATACTTGTGGTACAAGTGGACCGTTACGACTGGACATTTCCATGTTTCAATCAGCGGGTTTTTGTGTCTCTGGGTTAAACACACCCACACTCCCTCGACTCGACCAAGGGCAACATCGACGATCCAGTGGTTGTTCATGACATCTTCGATGACGCGGGTATTGACGGCACTCTGTGCACAAGCATCTGCCCGCATTCCGCCCTGATCACCAGCGCACAGTCTGAGTACTCGCGACGCCCGTAATCCGAGCGACGGCCAAGCGCAGTAGGGATTGCGGACGACGCCTTCATCTTTTTAAAGTTAAGTGGCTCATCCCGGGAGTCCAGGTGCTCAAGTGAGTCGTGCCTGTAGGTATAAACATTCAGGTGTTTCGGCGGAGACCGCCCGTCCGAAGGATGTTAGAGTGCGTTCCACAACGCGCGCGCAAGCATGCTCCGAATCCCATAATCGAATCTTCGAATCGAGCACGCTTCCAGGACACCCATTGTCCTCGTCTTCCTTCCTATCTTTGTCTACTGACATTTGACTCAAGTTCCGATTTAATTACGGGCCATTGCCCTGGCTTCTGGGTATGCGCATATGACGACCAAGGGGAGCGGTGTCCCTTATTGTATTCCCCTCAACATTGCCAGATGTTTGAGGCCGTTAGATCTGCTTTCTTCATCCTGTTTAAGGCAAGCTTCCGCATTACTGATTGTAAGCGAGACAGTTGGCCGTTCCTTTTCTCCCCCCCCCCCCCCCCCCTTTTTTTTTTTTTCTTTGCCCATTTTCGTTATTCAAGCCTCTTCGCATGTCAGGAGGCTCTGGGCACCGTACCGGCACCCTGGAATTAGGAACTGGCGTCGGCATCACACCCACCCGGCTGACATCCGCGCCGGTCCAACCTCCGCATATGTCATCTTGTCGGGGGAGATGAATCTAGAGTTCAGGGGCGAAGCATCGAGGCAGGAGATTTGACTACATCGGCCAGTGAGCTCCAAGTCTTGCGCGGCATGACTCTCCTGGCGTCTGGCCAGGAGTTCAGGGTCTCCGCTAACAAAACATGCGACGTCCCCTGTATCGAAAGTTTCAGGAGCTCGCCGGAGCTTCTCGCCGGCCCCTTTCCCCTTCACGGTTCATCACCTCAAGAGTTCGCAGGATGCCGCCGCCGCCGCCATAAGCATGTTGGGCCACATTTCACTTTCTTTTGTTACTGTTCCTCCTCATCCTCGCGCTGCCACCTGCTGAATTCACCGTGGTAATCTTGCGTTTGCATTACATCTGAACACCGCCTAAGCCCACTTGATCCTTGCCCGCCCATTGCTTCGCCTATCGCGCTGCTCGTTCCTACGAATTATTCTGCTCTGCTTTTGAGACGCCTCTGGTCTTGGGGGCTGTATACAGACGACCTTGACGCATTGTCGTTACCCACACAGATCTGCTTCTTTCTCGACGGGATCACCATCATGCTGTCGAGCCTGACGACCAAGATCGCCCTCAAGAAGGTCGGGCTGAACAGTAAGAGCTTCGACTTCAGCGGGGGCTCTTCAGACACCAAGGGCAAGAGCGGCCCGGGCAATGACGACACCGTGGACGACCGCCAGGGTAGCTGGCCGGCGTGGATGTCGATGAAATCTCTCCCCATCACCGTGGCGCCGTGGTTCACCCCGCCGCCGCCGCCGGTGCCCGTCGCCGAGGTCCCGAAGATCGGCGACCTGGCCCCCTTGGACCGCGACAGGAAACTCGAGTTCGGACGGGGCCGGCCCGTTCTCGTCGTCTTCCTCCGCTGCGTCGGCTGTGCCTGTACGTTCTTGCCATCATTCTTTGTCACCCCATCCCGACCTGTCGTCGTGTCACACCTGCCGAAGACGCATGACTAACATTTCTTCTCACCAACAGTCGCCCAAAAGACCTTTCTTGCACTGCGGGCGCTGGCGAACAAGCACGCCAACAAGCTCACATGCATCGCCGTATCGCACTCGTCGTCCGCCGCCACGCAGAAGTGGATCGACATGTTGGGCGGCGCGTGGAACGTCCAGATCGTCATCGACGAGGACCGCGCCATCTACGCCGCCTGGGGCCTAGGGCTGGGGTCCGTATGGTACGTATTCAACCCGACGAGCCAGGTGCAGGGGTGGAAGGAGAAGGGATGGCTTGGAGAGAAGGTCGCGGGCGCGATCCAACGGACCGGGACGGGGGCCGCGTCGCCGAGTCCTGCACCTGTCCAGAGACGGGGGACAGGGAGCACCAACCAGAAGGGCAGCATCACACCGGCGGGCGGCGCAGCGGCAGGGGAAGAGATCGAGGGACCTAGCACGGTCTTGGGAAACAAGTGGCAGACGGCGGGCGCATTCGCCGTCGATGGGAGGGGGACGGTCGTTTGGGGCGGCAAGGCGTTACGGGCTGACGATCCGATGGACTTGGAGACCGGGGCCCAGATCCTGGGCTTGTAGATGCCGGCTGCCATGTGATGGAAAATTGTCACACTTGATCATCTACGGGAACTGGGTTGGACAGAGTGGCGTTGGCGAAGCCTGGATTCGGGATCGGCACCTTAGGTTGGAAGAGGGGCCTCGATGAATATCATATTTCAAAATGTGACCGGCATGCTGGCCTTCCGAGTTTCTGAGTCTCGTGCGTGGTTCTCTGTTGGATATGTTCTTGCGAGGCAGGCGATGTTGCGTAGTCACAGCGAGGTCACATCCGATGGCGCGAGCTCGGCGAATTGCTGGCATCCATGGAGGGTTCATGGGTCGACGTTCCATGGGCGAATGTGCATACCGGGGCTCGGCTCCTTACTTTTTCTCTTTTTTTTCTTCTTCTTCCTGTACCCCAGCGGAGACGTCACAAAGCTGCAGGTGGAATAAGGAAGCGGGACGCTGCCGGCCCTTCCGCGTGGGCAGCGCCCAACGCGGAGAAGTTCTAACGTCGTCACAAAGTGAAGTTGGCTTTGCTGTGATTGACTAGCCCCTTACCCCCACCAATCCCCATTGTTCACACCGACATCAACAAAGAGAGGGGAGGGGCAAGTGACGGAGGTCCTGTTGGATGCCCGTCGACACCATCCGGTAGGTCCAGTCCGAGAGAGGGAGGGTCGCTAACCTGTAACGTGTCTTGGTCCGCTTGAGCGGCAGACCGGCGGGCCTGATCCAAGGCTGACTTCCCGGGGGCCCCTCCTCCCTCCACTCTCGAGATCTGGATATATGCTATACAATCTAGGCTGTTGGTCTTAAAAGCCTGAGAGGCGACGCGAGACGCCTGGCGCAGGCAATATTGAAGCGGGTATCTTGGCCCCAGCAGGAGTCGGTTGGCCGTTGGCCGTCTCGTTGGTCGTTGGACCGGCCTGCATCTCAAGGCCCTCCCTCCCTCTCTCCTTCCCGGGGCGGCCCGGTCCCACTTACCCGGTTACTACGCCATCTTGCCTCTGCATGCATGTAAGGCGGACGAGAGGTTCATGCAGCCAGGAGGCGGAGGGGCCGGGTCAGCGCTGGGCCGTCCCAACGAAGTGTCCTTTGCCGTGCTCTCGCCCACAGTTGGCTCGTGGCCTCGTGCTTAGTTTGGGGAGTGTTGGGGACTTCCTCTAGGAGCATGACGCATGATACCCCTCCGCAAGACGAACGTTGTTCACGATGGAGAAAAAGACTGGCAAAGAGGAGAGGGTCCTCCGACGGGGGGGTTGGCTGGCGTTTTCCCACCCTGGTCAAATGCCGACGAACGATGTTGGTCGGCTGAGACGAACGCTGCGATCCAACGAGGTGGAGCGCTTCTTGCATCATACCAACAAGCTAGGCCCTACGGGACGGTGACGAGTAGACGGGGCAACAAGAAAAAGGGAAAAAGGGTGAGGGAGGCACAGAGGAGAACACCAAGCCCCAAGGAAGTGTTGCCAAAAATGAACCAAGCTCCGTCACGCCCAGGACGTTAGACGAGTCTTCTTTAGTTTGGCATATCGACCACACATGTACAATAAAATCTATTCCCAAACCGAACCCCCCTCTCCCACTTCCCCAGAATAGCGTGAACCGTGTAGACGGACGGAGGGCTGCCAAAACGGAAAAAACGGTGGGGGGTGTGAGGTGGACTTTTTTTTTGCCGCCGGTTCAGGGGTTGGGCGGGCCCCCCACGGAACCTCCCGCGGTAAGCCACACCACTACACCCGTTTCCGCCGCCGCGCCGCCCGGGATCGCCGTGCCCGGATCGCATCCAGGCCAGTGTGTCTATGGCGTGCCTCGTTCCACGGTCCGTGTGCCACCGTCAGATGGCTGTCCGAGCGGTTGAGCCACAGGGAAGAGAGGGGAAAAACCTGGTTGATGATGACTTTATACTTTCCACTCTATGTTTATTTTTACAGTGTAGATTCTGATTTCTTAAAACCCTGCACCCGCGCTAAAGGCTGTTTCTATCTTGGTGGCTTTGTCCATTGACAATTATCGGTTCGAAATCTAAATGTAGGTCCTACGGAACCCTCTCCCCCTCCCTCTTTCTTGCCTGGCGATCCACACGAGGAGTCATTGCACACCCATCGGATTGTCTCTCCGTCAAGGTATGCAACGAAATGCCGTAAGTTCAGGACAGACTCAAGGTTCGGACCTCCTCAGACACGGAACATTTGGCCAGTTGGAATGGTAGTCCAATCAATTACGTGTTCGTGTCCATCCGTTATCGGCATCGGAACACATGCGATAATTACGCGATGGGCACGCGATGGGCAAGGAAACCAGACGAACTTGGGGGGACCAAAAAGCATGTGTTTTTTTCATTAAGGTGCTGCTCCATCCCGAGCAGAGCGTGCCAAAGACAAGAAAGCATCCCGTCCGTTCCATCTCCTACGCAGTTTCATGTAATGATCTATTCCGCATCTTCCCATCAAACCCCTTTCTCGATGTAGCCAAGCTCCCTTCCATTCCCGGGTCAAAAAACAAAAAAGGCAAGAGAACCCATTAAAGCTTAATGCGTTCCTACCCCCCAAAACCATCGAGAGCTGGGGAGAGAAAACGATAAAACTCCTTCGACGCAACCTCCCCTAAAGCAACCAAGGAAAAGCGCCCCCCCCCACCCCCCCCCTCTCAAAGACCAGAAACACCCCGTAGCCCAAACCCCTGTTTTTGTGATTTTGTCGCCATGTAAAGAAGAGTCATGCGTGTGCTTGTGTCAACTCCCCGGATGTGCGTTGCCCAGTCCCAATCCATTCGAGAGTCAAACCAGATTGTCGGAAGCCACGCCCACGCCGATTGTATGCTCGCAATTCGAATCATAGGTTTCCCTCCGACGCTTTTGGCACCCGAAACATTCCATGTCCAGCCCCGAAGAGACAACTGACCCCAAACAACCAAAGAAAATAAAAAACTAGAAAAGAAATGTCGCCCTGCTCTGTGTTCACCCTCGCCGCGATATAAAGGGTTACGAAGCAAAACCCAGGCCTCTGATGTCCCATCGCAGCTTGCGACCAAGCCCTCAAAGCAACTGTTTACCCTTCCACGCCCTTTTTTGCCATGCTGCTCTTTCGCCTCCCATAGCGATACTGTTCGACTCCAAGGCTGCAGAATGCGGTCCCTGCTGATGGGGGAAAGGAAAACTCCTCAGAGATGCCGAAAGACACCCTTCACTCCGAATACCATGTGTTGAGCCCGAGGTATATATCAAATTTTCCGTGACCGAGGAAAAATCAATCGAGACGGAAATCAAACTGAGAAACCACCCACGCAAACCGCCTGTTCATCAAACCCCTTGTTCATTCCGTAGTTGCGCCGCGTTACAAATTCGAAAGGGATCATATCGGGTCAGGCATCATATCATGAACGTCTAGCCCCAGACGCTAGCAGGGGGCTGGCTCAGGTTCGAAGACTGAGGACCCCAAACACCGTTTCCGCGACCCCAACCGCCGGGAGAGGCCAGCGGGGTAGTAGATCTCTTTGAGGACGAAGTCGAAGCTCCGCTCGGAGTTCCCGTAGGTCGCGTGCCGATGGGAGCAACCGCCTGCGCCGGCTTGGACCCGGCCGGAAGCTCCTGGCGTGGCGGAGAGCCGCCGGGCGACGAGTTGTTGGTGCGGGCCGCAGCCTGGCTCACGGCAGACTCGAATGCGCTCTTGTTGCTGTTGGTCGTATTGGGCTGAGGGCTGGCGGTGCTGCCGCCGCGAGAGCCCTGGTCACCCGGGGGCCCGGCGATGGGACCGGGGCCGACATCAGTAGCGGAGACGGGCGTGTGAGCGTCACCTTGAGGGGGCGGACCGCGAGTGGCGTCGTAGGTCAAGGGGGACTGTCCACGCAGGCTGGATGGGCCACTATGGGTGGGGACGCCGGTGCGCACGACTCCGTTCTCATCGACGTAGCCTCCCTTCTCGGCAAACTGGCCCTCGCCGTACAAGGCGCTGCGCTGACGAGCGATCAGCTCACGTGTCTCCTCCTCGGACATGGCCTTGGCGCCGTAGGGGATGTCAGAAACAAGAGCTGCGCGCACAGTTGATTAGCATGACTTCCTCCGCAACCTCGAGATACTACGGGGAAAGGGGATGGACGGTGATCTGTTCAGGAAAACATCTTTCGACAGTAACATGACGGGGCAGCAGGATGTGCATGACGGTGAAACCCCTCGGCCTGAATTATCTATTTTTCTGCATTGCTGGTTTTCCCCCCTGGCATATGGAGTTTGTGTGTGCTATACAGAAGAGGGCGGCCTACTTCGTTGGTATTGCTGCTCAGTGTGCAGGTTTCGCAGCTCCCGCTCCCGTTGGGCGGCCATCCTTCTCTTGGCCTGCATCATCTGTTCCGCATCGTTGGAGCCACGGGAGGGCTGGTGGCGCTGGGAGGCGTAAAAGCTCTGGAGGTTCGAGTTGGGGTGGCCTCGGGCATCATCGAACTGGTTGACCGAGTGCGGTCGGGGGCCGGGACCGGCTCCGGCTCCCATGCGTCCGGCTGCACAAAGCGGGTTAGCGACGGGATGGCTGCGGTGATGCCCGCCAAATGCGAGCAGACTTACTGAAGTCGAGGGATTTTCTGGCGGGGCCATGGCCGGCGGGACCCATCTTGGGACCACCGGGGGTTGGGTACTCACGTCGACCGCCCATTCCGTACGACTTCCCGCCCTTGGCGAGATTATCGTATGCACGATCAACCTCTGTAGGCCTAGCAGTCAGTGTCCGTACCACATCTAGATCATCACATTGTCAGCCGGGTCTTCCTGCGCGCGACGCACGCCGAACGCGGATCCTCGAGCGAGAGGCCGGCGCCGGTTTTCTGTCTGCCACGCGCTGAAGATTCGAGATGGCCTACCTTCGAACTGGTAGAAGAATGCGAAGTCGTCCTGAGGCGTGGGACCGCTGGCACCTGTTGGCGAGAACCTCGAGTCAATTCCGGTGTCTGGCTTTGCGATTTGGTGCTGTTGCGACAACTGGGCCGACTCACCAGCACGGGCAGGAGGCGCTTGGTGTTCCCAGTTGTTCTGGCCGGGATTGGACCACTGCGGGTTGTTCTCGTAGTAGGACATGATGATGAGTCGATGTTTTGACAGTGTCGAAAATCGTGAGGGTCACGGGTGTTGTCCGAGAGGCGACTTCGG